GTATATACTTTTTAAACGTTGGTTACAAATTTCAATGTGATTTGTTGAATGTGACTACTAATCTAATTTGTACGCTATATATTTTACTTATTTCGCAATCTGTACAAAATGATGTGTACCTATATATACCATATAACAATAACATTAATATTCCCTACATTTGGGATTCATCGATATTTTTATAATACCTACGATATCTCTTCTTTATTTTTACTTGGTAAAATATGTTTACTGTTTGCATTTTCCGTTTAAATGTGTGCACTGGCACCATACACGTCATAAATATAATCGGCTATGAACTTTTTACTGAGTTCATTATTTTTAGCTTAATTGTAAAACCAAGTTTTCCTAATTGCATAGTAAGTTTGAATTACGTATAACAACAAATTCAATTTCGAAAAATTTTTTTGAACTTTTCAATATATTTTTGATATTAATTATGTATTTATGTTATTTTTTTGTGCTTTTGGTCATTACTGTTTCCTGTTTTTTCCTTTGCAGTAAATTGTCTTCAAAATTCATCAATAACATTTATTTACACAAATTTTAAGTTATTTTTTTAATTTAAACGTGCTATTATATATCGGGGTGTCGATTCTGAATTTGAAGCAGTGCATTGATCACTTTATTTATATTTCCGACCATTTTAATACATTCCTAACGCCTCGGATACTCAGAAAGTCAGTTCATTAAACTCCGTGTGCACCTTATATAACAGCTCGAAATTTCATTTCAGGTGCAGACGATTAGGTATCGATGGTTTGATTTGAATTAAAAAAAAACAAAACAAATAACTGGGTATGACCATTAACCCTGCAGTATTCACAAAATTTATTTATAACATAACATGCATAGGTGATGTAGGTGTACAACAGGTAGGTGGTACTTATCGAATATATACATTACATTCGCATATTATATTATATTATATTATATTATATTATATCATGTACATTATACATAATAGTCATAATACGTATAATAATATCTTATATTACTATACATTCCATTGTCCGTATGTTCGTGATGAAGTACTGAAACATATAATATACTATTATAAACACCTACCTTGTATAACAGTGGTGTTATCACGATAATCGTAAAATAATATTATGAAAAGTACGCGCATATTTCACTAACGGCTCTGGTTACACAGTTGGCACATGCGTGGACAAATTAATTTACCTATTTTGTGTTCCATAAAGAAATTTTAAATGATAAACCCTACAGAACGTCGCTATGTAGGTACTTTTGTAAAGAGTTGGTATTAATAAATAATAAATCGTACACTTGGTGGTTAGACGTTTGCCATAGTAAAACAAAATTTGAAATTTTTAAACAATTTTTATGGAAAAAATTGTATTTTAATGTCACACTATATTAAATATTGTTTTGGGACGGACGCTTGTATGTTTTCGTATACGATTTCTCAAAATTGAAACCTTCTCCTGGCTATAAGATGCTGCCATATATACTATAATTGTACAATTCTACTAATTTCTCTATTTTCTCGCTTGTTCAAAGAATTTTAGAAACCTACCAAGAAAGAATTTTGTACCTAAGTTAATAATTTGCTTATCTTCATTTCATCATAAAATGTTTTAATTCTTTTATAGGAATTTATATCATACTATTTCGTTGTTAATTTATATTGTTGCAACCATTTTCAGAGTCAAGTCTATAGTCCCACTATAATAAATTCAAATCAATACAATTTGATAGAATTTTTAATTTCTAGCACTTATAGATACATTAAATTATATCCGACAAAACAGTTTTATTTCATTTTTGTTACATCTTTTTGAATAATGAATGTGTATAAGAAATCGGCGAAACCCAAACAAATGCAATCACTGGTCATGGATTTCGAAATCGTGTCCAAAAAAAGAACCATGATATTAATATAGTTATGTCTTGTTTGACGGTAAAATTCAGTATTTAAATTTACTAAAAAAAAATAATTTATAGGACAATATGTGCATTACTTTAAGACTCAAATATTTCTAAAACGCACAGGTAACACTAGAAGGCTTTATTTTTTTAATTACACACTTTGTTTGTCTATTTATCTAATAACACTACAGTAGGTCATAAGACACAAACTCGCGTGTTTCGTCGAGTAAAAAGGAAAAAATCAACAGTAAATCACGTTCAATAATAACACCATTGTGTTTTCAAACAAAACGTACAAAAGCTTCGAAAAGGGCGTAGTTCATACATATTTGGGCGCACGTGTCTAGAAATGTAATGCCAAGTCGATTTCCGATCGCAATAACGCGTATCTAATACATCTGTACCTACTACCTATGTAGGTTCGGTATGCGTCCACATATTAATCAGTTGTTAAAAAAAATTACACAAATCATAATTATTATTACGAAAATGATAAAATTGCATTAAGAATATAGTGCAATAGGAAGGTATATACTATATAAAACATGTATATGGTTTTAGATAGGTATTCGATTAAAATAACAATGAGATATGCGAAATAACTGCTATATACACGTAAGAACTAGACGTTTTTTTCTAATTTGACCTTGATGGTATTTAACACTGATAATAATTATTACAATTAATAATAATTAGGTACATATTATTTAATATTTATACACGGTGCGAAAAGCCGCTATAAGTCCGACATTTCGATGAAAATAAAATATCGTCGTGATATTATATGTATTACAATACCTGGCATTGTGGCAGAGAAGGTATACGAGGACAAACGTGCATCAAGCATACTATACGTTATAGGTATGCAAATAATACACCTGAACAAGACTCGACTAAAGTGTGCTGTAATAATGATAAGGATCTATCGTTAGATCATTAACGGAGATACATTATACTATATTTGTTACACTTGAATAATAATACAACGATTCTTTGTAATAAAACAATATATAATTATATGCATTAAAAAGTCACTGAAGAATACATTTTTTTTGTTTTGTTCGAAGATGGTAAAAAATCGAGTGACCAAGAATAAAAATGCCCCTTCGTCTTCTATGACCTTTTATTGTAATAAAAAATATAAAAAGAATTATTGGGAGGTAGAACCTTGGAAGTAATTACCATGCCGCGGTATAATTAAAAAGTAATGATAATTATACTGTTCAAAATATTTTTAATGCATTATTTAACTTTGTAATAAACATTTTTAAAATGTATCATAATATTATGTTTTATAAGACCGGTGTGGTTTTTTTAAACCATGCAGGTTATCATTTATCATAGTTGTGTATCATTATGTTAATAGAAATTATATTATTTGCAAAATATAACGCCTATCGGAAATATTATAAACATATCTTTACTATTCATTTAGAAACCAATAGGGTATAGTATTTTTAAGTTTTATAGTATTCATTTTTTTTATATGCGTATAGGTACAGTAGGTGTAGATATACGAATTCATAGATGGCACTATGGTCTATGACGAGTAACATATTATAGCTACATAAGTATGCTTAATGGAATAAAAAAATCGATTATTAAATACAATTGTAAGAATATTTTTCAATACCTATATGAATATGGAACTTTAAACTTAACGGCTATTTCATAAATTTAATATTTCAAAATAAACCTAAGACCTAACACTTATAATTGTATACAGACAATTAACGGGTATTTTCAGAGCATCATATTACGATACTCGAGTAAAATGTGTACATAGTTTTCAATCCTAATTAGGTAGTAGTTAATAATTAATATTTAAAAATTAAAATATGACCTCAAAATTTAACTGGAATAAATTCAATTTTTTTAAAATTATTTAGCCACTAAAACCGAAGTTCACGTAACCTATATAAATTTTGATTGAATCGCAAAATCATCGCCGAAGGGCCTAGACTATAAAAAAAAAGGTTAGGTTAGGTTACTACAACAAACCAGTTTCATCATAGGTACCTACTCCATGAATATTTTAATATCGATACAGTATATTTTATATTGTATAATAATGTTTACAAAATCACCAATTCCTATTATTATTATTATTATTATTGTTATTGTTATTATTATCCATTATTATTAACTGCAAACTTTTTGATTGCAAACTCGGTAATACTAGTAGTACACTAATTTAAATGATTTGGTTTATTCGAAACTCTCTCAATATTTGATATATTTTCACCAAAAACATCATCGACGAAGAGGATATTATAATAATTATTATTTAATGAATTTGACGCATCAATTACTTTTAGATTATCCAAAATAAAATAATACTATATAATTTAGGACGTACCGATGTACTATAGGTACGTCATATTAACCAACTTGGAAATTATAATGGGCATTTTATTATTATTCCTATTTGAAAAATAATACTTGGTAGGCAATCAATAAATTTATTTTGAACAATTATAATAAATGTATTTATTTTTTTTTATTTAATAATAACCCTCGACATCAAGGGATTACGATAAATTTAATTTTGGTACCTAACCATTAAACTATGAACTTTTATATATTTTAATATTTAGTATTTTCAAAAAACTAATTGTTTGATTATTATTTATTATAGACCCTCATGGCCTCATCTATCGCCACAGAAATATTGGGCAAACATTTTGTTTAAATTTTAAAATATCATATAAAACGATCTTACTGTATATCCACAAACAATACAAGTACTCAGTTCTCTTAAAATTAAAAAGAAAACCAACGCATTTTAAAAATAGTATTTAACATGGCTAGTTTGAAGATTATGTAGCATATTTGTAAATACAAACACAATACTTTTTTTCTATCATAATATAATAATTGACACTATGCTATCAAAAGTAGCGTAAAAGCGTTTAGATCGATCTGATAACATGGAGACAATATTATACCATCTGCAGGCGAGTATAAATTATGGTATTTCCTCATATACAACTGTCATGGAACGATATTACAATAGTAATATTGTCAAACTGCGTCTCAAGTGTAAAATATGTATTTTAATAGGAGAAAAAAATCGGTTTCAATATACCATAAGACTTTCTACTCACTTGCAAAGTATACTGCCAAAACATCCAAAACTACTTCCGTTGGCTACGAGACGCGAGTACGAAACGGTCATAATTTCAAAGCGCGTAAAATCCTCACGTAGATCGCGTATTCGTCAAACACCACGGACACTCATCGTCACATATTAAAAGGTACTATTATTATTGTTATTGTAATCACATATCATTTAATTACTGTGTGATGGATCGCACTATGCCGTTCTGCGACGACTTAAACAATGTGTGTATAGATTACCAGAGGAATATCACAAAAAACGTCGAAGATCGATGAACGGGTTTGTTTTTTTTGTTTTATTGACGATAAAAAAAATATACTCTTATATTATTAGTTAACAACACTTAGAAGACGTATCCGTGAAATAACGACAAACTCGACGGAGATAAAATTAATACAATATAATATGAATACGAGTTGATATTTTATTAATATTATTATTATTTCTATTACACATACGCGCGCGCTCGAACTCGCAAATCTGTCGTTCGACCTGCCGTCCGTACGGTTCTGCCACTTCTGTCGGTATCGTTCTGGGAGTTGAGACCGCCAGACCGTCACCGGACTACGTATGCGTTATTTTCACTGCTCTCCCACCATCTGTCCGATCGTTTTATGTATTGAAAACCTGCATGGTGTACCGGTGTAGTGTATAAGGTATATTATGGGCACAGGTAGTATAGAAGTAAGCAAACGCTACCATTATTATTATCATCATAATCATCACGATGCAGTCTACGACTCTACGTACAATATTATGTATGTTGTATGTATAATATATGTTTGATGTTTATAGCTGGAGTACAACTTTATATAATGTATACGTTATTATAATATAATAATACGCGAATGTAAGTTTAACATTTAATAACAGCCGCATGCGTAGGTATAATACATTGAAAAATAATTTAACATTAAAGTGTCTCCGCGGTGGTGCGTATTGCTTATAAATATTATGTCGTATAATGCGTAATAGGGTATACTTACGGTCACTTATATTATGCGTCTTATAACATTTTTTATTTTCTATTACTTTGCCCTATGTGTCTCCCCGGACGATTAAACAAATTATGGTAATATAATATTTATAGGGCCTACGACGACATGGGACAAAAGTACATAATATAACAACGCGAATGCAACAGCCACATAATCTAATATTATAATATTATGTTCGCGGCGACGTTCTTCGCCTTGTTCTTATTACCCCGTACAGCAGGCCCTAAACCTAGCTATAATACATCAATATTTTGTTATTACCGCGTATAATGTGTAATAGTATAAATAAGCTTATACGACGAAGACGATGCAAGTCGGTATGCCGAAGATAATATAAAATAATATGTATATAGGAACTTCGTAGTCGGCTATATGACTGCGATTGCATGTAACGATATCGATGTAATATTTATATAGGTTGTAGGTGATATGTAAAGTGTATGCGAATTGCGTATGTCTATCCAAATAACAGGAGTTCGCTTTTTCTCAGTCTATATTCAGTCGGTGTTAACATTCCTCTGAAACACACACCGATAACAAATTTTATTAAACGCTATCGCGGAGATGCTATGATGTATAATATGTAGGTATATAGGCAAAATAAGCAAGTAGGCCTATAATTGGCACCCCCTCCTAATATCTACTATATCTATGACATGACATGACGACTGTGTGCACATTAAAAAATTCTAAAAAAAACCAAGGTCATATATAATATATATATATAATATATATGATAGAAAACATTACAATATTAACTCTGCTATGTGTATGTCAACAAACATTTTCCGCCATGCGAAGATTGAACGAAGCTATTAATGAATTTGCAATGGCTGACGGAAGAATCAATTTAATATTGTTTAGCATTAAATAATGTCATAAAATAGTATCTATATTAATTTTCTAAAAAAGTTATTGTAAAGTTGTTATAGTATTCCGTTAAACAGGGCTTAAGTGGACTGTTGGTTTATAATTTCTTATGCGATATTATGTGCACTTATTGTGGTACAGGCTGCCCAGTATATACATATAGACACAACTAAGAAAACATTTTTAGAGTAATTCATAGGGTGGAATATAAGGAAGATTTCCACTCCATTTAGATAATATAATAAAATCGTAACGGTATTAGGCACTCATATTTATTAAAAAAATGCAAACATACATTAATTTGTCTGTTGCTTAAGCAAACCTTTTAAGAATGCTTTGATTATAAATTGTATTGGCAGGGTGTATTTTTTACATACAGCTTATAAACTACAGATTTGAAAACCAATTTTGTCTCATGCCTACTATATTGTTTCAATTCGATGTTTAATTCCTTACATGGCTGAAAAGAATTTTTCACACGTAGCAGATGAATGCTATAGCCTATAGGCATAATTTACTATAGTGATGGAAACTGCTTGAATTAATTGACAATTTGTATAATCGTGATGAACATAATGACGTTTTTAATTATTCTAAGTTATGACCAGCGTGTTCACCATTTTTTTCAAGCTTACTCTCTGCTATATATTTTTATGGATTGATTAAAAACTAGATATCGAAAGTTTGGGAGTGCTAGTTTTTAAACTGGGAGTGCTAAATGTTAAGCGCTCCCTAACCCCACCCCTCATCTACACCCTATAGATGCGACAATGCTGAGTGTACCAGTACACTGTACCTATAGTTGTACAGTGTAGATCGTATACAACAGCACAGCAACGAGTGATATTCTATATTATACTATATATATTATAATATACTTTCGAATAATATTCGGCACAAACCGAACCTCAATACGGTATCAAAAGTGACGGACACTCCTTTGGCTGTCATTTTCTTGAAAAGAGCCCAACATTCTTTCTCTTTGTCGGACTTGAGCATAGGTTGGCCGTCGAGTACGTCGCAGCGGACGTCGATCTGTGCGATTTCTTTGTCCTGCAGCGTTTCGTCGTCGTCGTCACCGTCTCCACGTTTAGAAATGACTACTTCTTTTACGACTGGCCCGTCGTCTTCATCATCATCCCTGAAATTAAACGATAACCTCGTATTTTAATATTACTCATTCAAACAATCAATATTGCAAACGCAAATGAGACGTACACAACATTATCGATTTTCATCTTTCGTCTGTCACTACAAAATAGTACTTTGTATAGTGATGATAAAATAGCTATAAAATACTATATAACAATAATGTATAGCCTATAACGATGGAGAACAACCCAAACACTACCAACATTTCGATGAGGTGATTTCGACAAGGTAAGATATTCGCGTGATAAACATTTTATATAGTTGTATGTAATTTTGACATCACATTCGGCATATTTTTTCCCATTTATATGTTATTATAGATACCTATAGGTACATCGATAATAGGTACATATATACTAGGTATATAGTTTGTCGTGTTTACACGCAGTAAAATTATTGCTGAAACTCGGATAATTTTCAATAAATTGAAATGATGGATGTATAGCATGCCGACCATACAATATGTAAGGTTTCATAATGTAGGTCATGTCGTTAAAGAAATGTATGCGATTTTAACTATTACAAAATAAAGATATCTTCATAGTCAATGTGTTGTACTCGATATAATAGCTGCGTATCATCTATAAAATTCTAAAACGTGTACTACCTACCTATAATATTATTAAAAGCTAAACATGCACGTTATGACAGTAAGCACATATATGATATATTGTCTTATGGTGTATGTATATTGTATATATATCATGACAAATTATTTTCTGAAAATACGATTTGCATTATAACATTATCCAATTATTTTTATGTCCTCAAACTCAACATTATATATATTAGACATTACAGCTATTAGCGAACAAAAAATGATTATTTATGTAAAGAAATAATAATACGTTAAATGCAATAATATTGTCTATTGAATATAATGTAAGCCAAATAGTTATTATGAAAATGTTAAGGAAGTTGAATGCCTTATAAAATATAACCCACAACTCTTTATTGTATATTTAGTTGTCTACAGGCCAGGCAAAATATTATTGTTTGGAAAAAACTCTATGCATATTAGATTATTATATATTATTATTATAGCAAATTAATATTATATTGCAACCTTAGTTAGGCAGGTTAGTTCACACATTTTTAAGTCATTCTATAATTTCCTCTTTTGTTTGTAAATTTAAATTGATAAATCAAATGTTTCAATGAAATAATATTCATATATATTTATGATTAAACACCTGCATAACATTTTATGAAATACAAATAACTAATTACACTAAGTAAAATCTATACGAATACAATATTTTTATTATACCTTGTTATCTCTATTGTTCTGGATTTAATCAATGATTTTCCAACACGATTGTTGAGAAGTTTTGGTTTTCCAATCGATGTCATTGCGCTATCAAATGATTTTTGATGATAACGCATACTGTTATTAAATTGAGGAAAGGTAACTATAAAATAATAAATTATCATTATTATAAATTGAAAAAATAATTGTTTTCTATTTGAGAATTTCTGTTGAATTCGTCTAACTACTGTTTACAATAGTGTTTATTAGTAACGCAGTTTCGACTAATTTCATTAAATGCATGTAAAAATAATTCTTTTAAAACTATTAAGTAGCTTAAAAAGTTTTAGCATAACGTGTAAACATTAGCACAAAAACTTTATTTTTATTTTGCAGTTGATAACGTCTTTAACAACAAGTAGATACAAAGTTCAACAAATTATACTTAAACACAAATTCATTCAAACTTATATCAATAATAATTCGCACTTGGAAAATGGTCTACCAGGAATAACTTTGGATAGTCAACTATTAACAGAAGAACATTTAATTTTAGTAAATTTGACTAAAATGGCTACTTCGGTTCAAATAATAAAATCTTAATGACTTTTCATTAATATGTATTATTTAATACATTACATGTAACTAATGTAACTTCCTAGAAAAGTACCTATTTTTATTATATTAATGCATGCTTATAATGGTACTAATAACACAAACCAGCTAGTAAAAATTGATTTTCTTTATAAATGTTCTTAATTTCACTGTTTAAATATAAAACTTATTATCAAAAAGTGAATCAAAGAAAAAATATTTATTTCATTATATTATTATTTGGAATATATGATATAAATAGGACACTGGATAACACTATATTATTTATGATATGATTTTTTTTATTATAATTAGATTATATTTTCTTAAATTATGTAAAAGAATATTTTAGGCTACTTATTTGTTTTGAAAATGAATGAAAGTGTAATTACAACACTTTGTACTCGAACAGAGAAATCAGCCATAATATCGCGCTTTTGTGGACCTGCAAACTATATGATAATGTTTTGCATTTCTACCAATTTAACCTCACTCGATAATAATCAAATAATATTTTTATGAGTTTTTAATTTTATTAGTTAAGCAGGTGATTAAAACAATAATTTACCGGTTTTTGTGGATACGTCATCCGGTGTTGGTGATTCCTCTACATCACTTCCAACTGGACTTAAAAGTGACATCATCGTTACCACTTCTACATTTTGATTTTTTTTGCCAAACTTTTGACCATTTGACATACGACTATCCACATCAATGCTTTTATGGAAAGCTTTACTCCTACAAGATTTCAGCTTCCTGGTCGGGAATCTATGAACATCTTGAGATTTTCTCCGTGAACTTCCCGAATAAAATTCTTGTGTAGGGTGCACGCTTTGTTGTCTCGACGAAGGCGCCGACATTGCTCTCGTCAAAGTTTGTCTTTCGTTCTGTTGTTGTTTCGCAGTCTTGTAAAACCTAACTCTTCTCGCGGCAGCCGAAAGAGGTTTTTCCTCCTCGCTAGAGTCTTCTGGTGAATTTTCACCTTCTCCCGCATGGTTCTGGAGTTGTACTTCCAACGCCGTTCGACTAGGGTCCTTTTCCTCTTCTTGTATTGAAGACTCCTGAACATGATCTATAGATTCCATCAAAGGGTCTTCGATAACATTTCTAGCCAAATAAATATTAATACATGATTTTGACTGTTCCCGATCTATCCAAGCCTGTTTTATTCTTTGTGCAAACTGTTCTTTAGATTCATGTAAAACTTCCGGTTTTAAACATACTTTAGTCGGGTTCGCTGTGGGTCTAGATTTTTTTTCATTTTTTAAAAGCCTATTTATAGAACGGGAAATTACTTCTGTACTACAAATATTATCAGTTTCGGTTTTATTGAAATTTGAATCTTTTTGCAACCACGCTTTTTTTGACAGTAATTTTTTATCATAATCTTGACTGTCTGCTCGAATGTTTGACAAAGTTTTGGACTTTTGATTATCTGTACAATATTTATTTAGTACGTCTTTAGACATTCCAAACAGTTTTAAATTTACCTAAAATATGTAATATACATTTAATTAGCTATATCATAATATATTATACACATGAATGCCTACATAACCGAAAAATCCCAAAAACACCGCATAAATGTAAATATTAATTTACATTTTTTGTTACAAATGTATCATGCTATAATTTCAATTACAAACTCGATCGAAATACATTTGAATAAATAAATAAAAAGAAGGATAGGCTGATTCAAAAATAAAAAAGTTAAGAGATTAGTTAAACAATTTTACTATAAAATGTTGACTCCAACAAGTAATTCAATTTGAGGTCCACTGATAGATATTACCTAAATGATAATTTGTCCGTTTTGTATAATTTTTAGTAAAATTTTTTTTTTTGTATACTTACATAAATGTATTCATATCATTTATTACACAATACACATTGTTAATAACTAAATTGAAAGTTAAAATATTATCATATTACATAATTCTTATTAACATAAGAATCTTTTAGATAATGGAAAAATATATTTATCATGAGAACATTATAATATGAACTATATAATATTCAATATTGTTTTATAGATATATTATATAATATATACATATATACGCAAATTGTATTATTTTAAAAATATGTTATATAATTTAAATACAATTTGTAAACAAATTAAAAAAAAATGTAGCCTAGTAACTGATGCTTTCTATACAATAAACAATATAGGTGTATATATATTTATCATAAACACCTGCAGAACTACACACAATTTATTGCAAAAATGATATGACGTATTGCACGTGATATGGTGAAAATATTGTATTATATTATAATTATTTTAGTGTACCTATATTTAATTTAAATTATTTAGTTGAATTAATATTTATTTATTTTAGTACTTACATATTTTAAGAATGAAGATTTGAATGCGTAGGTACATTCGACTCCGACAGTGACACAAACACTTCTAAGCGTATTTGATTTGTCTTTTACATGAACTTCTCATAATTTATTGATCTTGAGAAAATATTGTTTTCACCGTATTTTCATGCGTTTTTGCCGGTATAATGACTTTGTTTATAATACGTCACCAAGACGACAAACCATCGACCAACTATATTTAGTCGCTTAAATGTTCATGCATACTTTTTTACTCTTCTTAACACATTTGAAGTGTCGTTATAATTAATTATTTTTAGAAAATAAATTTAATACTTAATTTCGACGTTTGTCTAAAGTTAATGAACTTTCAACACTTTATAGTAAATAATTTATTTTTAAAACTTTATAGTTTTATTTTAATTGTTTAATGTACCATGTACGTACTCTTACTTTGATCATTGATTATATATTATAATTAATAAACTAGTTGCTTATGTAATTACCAATTGGTTTCTGACATCAGTACATATCACCTATCAGAAATTACTAATTAGGTAATTAAAATTAATCGAAGTTAATTTTAATTCACAGACGTCAGATACTTAAACACATCCCAATTAGGTATGGACAATACAAATTATCCGTAATACTAACTTTATTATTAAGTAAGTTTTATAAAAGCTTTATGTTGTAGAATATTAAACTTTTAGAAAACCATGAGCACCTGTAAACAACAAATCACCATTCCGATATAAATGATTTATCTGTTAATACCACAAATTTGTAATAAAAAATGTTAATCAAAATGATGGTCATCTTATGATTTTCATCAGTTGAAAAAAAAAATTATTATTTAAAAATTAAAAATTTAGGATTTTACATGTGACCTTTAAATTATGCCCGAAACTGTTTAATTTATACAAGATTATATTAAATGTTATATGTTGTTATTATTATAAATTATTTGCTCGATAATATTAAATATTTTTTACTATAATTTAGGAAAAATAAACGATTTTGAACAAGTAGCGATTAACGCCGTGTCAATATGGTTTTTCCATTTTCAATTATTTAGACATGTATTTTTAATTAACAACGGTCGATGTATTGAAAATCCTATAATATAAAATATAAATATTATTATATAGGCATAAGCCATAAAGCATTGGATTTGGTTGTACAACTAACCAAATGTGCTCGAGTTTTTACGAGCCCGTATAATTTTAAGTTTAGCGTTTAATTCAGAGCTAGAAACCGGTATTGGATACCGTTTTTGAATACCGGTTGAAACCATTAAAAACCGAAAACGATATCAAAACCGAAATCGAAAACGAAAAAAATCTATAGCGATATTCAAAACCGAAATCAAAATCGGAAAAAATAAATACCGTTATCTGAAACCGTCAAACCGAAATCGAAATCAGAAAATACAAATACCAATATGGCGATATCCAAAAACGAAAACAATTTAAAATTAATATATCACATTTAAAATTAAATAGCTAAGCTGTTATAAATACGATCCAACTGTGGAGTATTGGGTCGTCCGATGGAAATATAGTACAAATATAGGAGTCAGCCTATGCGAGTAATTGGACTGCAAATTCACTTCAAACTATAATACTATAAAACTACTATAAAACTATATATACTCAGTAATCACTAATCAGTACTCAGTATTATATTATACTCATTATAATTTATAAGTAATAACTAATAAAAACGAAAATTAACCGAATTTTAGTTTTTCTGGATATCTGTCTGTGCATGAATGCCTTAGTTGTTAATAATCAAATCTCAAATTGTTTAAACTCTGTTGCCCAAATAGCTGCATCCATATTGAACACCCTGGTTCGAATGTTTAGATTAAGCACCCATGGGCCATGTTTAAGTTTAATAATATATAGTATAGTATAGTAACATAACCATTTAATCCATGAACTGCTACGAGCAACAAAGTTACACCAGTATCTGAATGCTTGATCAAAATTAAATTAATTAAATTAGTATTATTATTTAGTTTCATAAATCAATTAATTGGTTTATAGCATTATACACAATTTATAAATTATAATTAACAAACAATAATAAATTCAGAAAATATTTTCCATGAGAAATTCAGTAGAAATAAAAATTATTATTACTTATTTATTATCTTGGAACTAATTAAATTAAATACTAAACTACTGTAATAACTTATGAGGAATCTTGTTACAATTTCTCAAATTTTTAAAAATTCAAACTTTAAACGAAAAAAAAATGTTTTAACTATATAACATTTTTTTTATCAATGTTTGAAGAAAATAGCGCGTAAATGGAGGTTGCTCTATTATACAGTAGGTTACAAGCAGGTCACTGTAATGGATGGTGTTAAATTTGAATTCAATGATATCAAATCATTGTAAATGAAAAACGATTCTGAGCGAAGACGGTCAGTAGGTAAGCTTACAATATTGCTGAGTAATTTAGTATATTTTATTATATTACTGTGGTGAAAGTAACTTACTTTACTATTAAGCATTAGTACTATAATAGATTAAATTTATTTTTGCCATAAATATAATAATTACTATAGTACTAGTTTCAAGTACCTATGAATAATAATTTTAAATTACAACAAAATAACTTAATCCATAATTCATCTATTAAATTTTAAGTTTTCGGACTGAAAATCAAAAATTCTAATTCCTAGTAAGTAGTAGTTAATAGTTCAACAAGTTATAAAAAAATATAAAATATTTTGAAAATTTTAGGGTGTATAGCAAATGCAGATATAAAAAATCAATGAAAATTTCATGTCTCTAAAGTCTAAAGTATTTTTTTTTTTTTAGTTACATAGTCCAAAATCTATTTTATGTAAAAATTCTCATTTTTCCTTAATTTTTTGTTTGTTTTTTCTGCTGCTTTTTTATTATACTTAGAAGAGTAAACTAAAAATGACATTTTTTCTAAAACAAAAATAAGCAATTGTCCTTGAACATGTGATAATTAATGTCTTTTTTCAACCAATATCTGCTGTTTTTCATAACTTAGTAGGTAATCTAAATGATTTGAAAATACAATTTTAGTTGAATATTGAGTTGTATTTAAATAAACTAAAACATTCTTCTTTTTTTAAATTTCTAAGTTCAGTTGACTACCAATAATTTAAATGTTATCAGATTTAACATATCACTTAAAGTATATACACAAATCACATTTGATTCAAACATTTGTACAATTATGATCGATATAGTGTGATCACTGGACTAGTGATCTGACAAAACACCAATATTTTACTTTTATGTATTAACACATTCAACTAGGTGAAGTTTATATTTACTAAGAATAAAAATAAATTATGAAGTACATAAATTAACAATTTTATTTCAATTCAAAACTTATAATAACAAACGTCTTGAATAATAATAATATTATAAAATTAGATCAAACTTACAAACTTATAAACGTCATATATATATACACCTCTTTTCTACATAGGGTAATAAAAAAAAATGTATCTGCACTAATCAAACAACCTGTAAGCGGGTAAGTTATCGTCATCTACATCAGTAGATGTTGAATGTTTATTAGATAGTTGTTTCTTAGCAGACAATTTAATTGCTGAATTATTTTTAGAAATTGAGTTTTGTGTAAATGTTTCATTAGAAACTGATTTCTTATCTGTGTTAATTGGTCGTACGGTCACTTCCCCTGTAAGTTGACTAAAATTGGCTGCTGCTACATCTTGCAAATCATTTTCATTAATAGATATCTCAGATGCTTTTTGTTGAATTTCCTCTTCCATTTGGGCTTGTGTTGTTACATCCATACCAGACTCCTCAGCTTTTTCACGCATTTGCATTGTTTGTGCCCAAGTAACATACTCCAAATCTTGCATTAAATGTGTAGCGGGGTCATCATCATCATCATCATCATCTTCAGATTCCAACTCTCCAACACCATTTTCACCATCTAAATGTTTATTGTGTTGTTTCATTAGCTTATTATCATGTAGAATTTCAGCCATTAGATCATTATCAACTGACAACAACTCCACAATTTCAGTCTTTATTGGAGATTTTCCTGAAGTTAGAGCACATAAATAGGCACGTAAATCTTTCATTACATTAGGTAGTATTTTTTTGTTCTTTTCTAATTCATACTTTAATTTTAACACACCTGGTATTATGTAGTCAGTCATCACCATCTTGTATGTTTCCATAACTACTCGTTGTTTAGCTAAATCAGCCACTTTTTCTAATGTTCCTGGATCATCATCTTTGGTGGTATCACGTGGTTTTCCAGATGCCAAAGCCATTTCTTTGGCTTTTAAAATCCAAAAAGCATCCCTCATAACTTGTGTGGCGCGCTCTCTGACTTCATTGTTAGCTGTCGCACTGGCATCTTTAACAACGTCTTCAAAAATATTAAATATTTTCACCATAAGTTTCAACTTATTATCATCTAACATATGTGTCAACATAAATCTATAAACACAATGTCGTGATGCTTTCTTTGAATCTCCTTCCATTGAAAAAAATGCCTTTAGCTCAGGGTTTGTAAAACAATCTTCAACACCACTTGCCCGTACTCCAGTATAGCCATTAAAATGAAAAATTACTTCAATTAGTTTCCTTTCCATAATGTCTTTATTTTTGATCAGCAAATAGTTCACAATGAATGATGACGTTTCTTGCCGTACTTGATCATCAGGATCCTCAAGCATGCACAGTAAAGCAAAGAAAGCTACATCTCTCAGTTTTATGTAGTCCTCAAGTATTAATCCAGTTAGTAGTTTTAGTGCTACCCGTTTGACTGGAACACTTTCGGCTTTCAAGCAAACACACATTTCTGGAATAGCTTGTTCCACTAAAGTTGTACAGCGTAAACATAAATCAGCTAAAGCAGTTAAAGCATTAATTTTTATTGATGGGTGGTATGGATTTTTCAGTATTGCTCCATATTGTACTATTGCTTCTTTTGCAAATTGTTCATCCACAATACTTAATTTACCTATTGTCAAGATAACGATAGTTTGAAGAGCTGAAGATACAGATCCATCAGTTTTTCCCAAAAAGCCTAGTAAATATTGTTGAAATTTATTTTTGATTTGTAAATGCTGTACTAAACCAATGTCACCCAAGGTATATATATATCGAATAATAATCTCTTCATTATCTATATTTGTAGATGTCTCAATATAATTACAAATTATTTGAAACAATTTTTTTAAATTAGCAATTAGTTTTTCAGAATTATCTAATTGTAACACGGTGTACAAATCCAAAGATTTGGATATAAGACGAGTTGGTATTTTAAAATTAAACAAAAGATCTTCAAATGTGTTTAACAATCTTTGTCTTGTTTCTTTATCCAAGCGTTTATGATTTAAAAATAAAATATCAATAGTCATTTGTGCATGTGTTAACAAGATGTTAAGTTCCGAAGGATTTTCTTCTCTAACAAACCATAAATCAAACTGAGTATCAAAATATTTAATAATAGGTGATATATTTGAAATTGTTAATTGATGTGATATTAATTGTAATAAATATAAGCTGTGTACAGTCCATTCTTGATTTGAAGAACCCACATATGTCATTATTTCTTTTACATTACGATCTGTAATGAATCCATTGATGCGCCACTTTTCACACAAACACATCATGTACTTCCCTACTTTTTCATTTAAAACATTGTCTAATACACGCCAAGGTAAATAATCTAATGGATCATTACCATCAATTATTTTGGGAGAATATGGTTTGATATTGTTTAAAATAACTTGATTCATAGATTCAACAGTCAATTCTTGAATTTTTTTGTCTCGATCTCCAACTAAATGAATTAATCCTTTAAACCAATACTTAAGCACATCTTTATTATCTGGATATTTTAAAAGCAAATCAGTTAACCCTGAAACCGCCACTTTTCTGATGGTCATTGCATTGTCTGAACAACTACTCACCAATAATGTTAAATAATATTTTTCCATGAACTTATTATTTATAAGAAATAAATTACACAAAATTGTAAGACTTATTCGTCGAATATAAGTTCGTTCATCACGAGCATGTACATTTAAGATCCACAATAAAATTTTGGCCCCAGGATAAATATTTAAATTGTTAATATTATTTGGATCAAAATTGGCCATATTACTTTCCAAATATTGATAAAAATCATGGAAATCTTTTTTGCAGAATGGTGTGTTATTTATATTATCAAATTGTAGGTAAGGATCAACAAGTACACGTTTGACTAAAGCTGTTTGATGTGCAGTAGCAGTAGGTGGACCAGCTGTTAAAGTTGCAAATAATGAGAATGCTTTAGAACGAACTGTTAATAATAAATCTTGAAATTTGGAAAGAATAACAGCCACAATGAATTCATGTTTAGTTGTTGGCATAAGTTTTAGTATAGTTGGGTCCTCAGGTTCAATTTCTTCAGGTTCTGAAAGTAATTTGAAAAGAGTTTCCAATGCAACGATGCGTAATTTTACATCAACATCATATACCAAACGTAATAAATAATATTTAATTTTAATTCGAACATTATTTGGGCATAATCTCCAAACTTCTAATATGATTTGAAATTGACGGGGTCTTAGTTCACTTCGTTCAGGTCCTCGATGTAATAAATGTTGCAATAGTATTTCTAATACACTCTCAAATGGAGATCCCAATTTTTTAGTTATTTTACGAATAAATGATAAATGATGATCACGAATTGTATTAAATTGTCTAGTAGTCAATTGCATTTCACGCTGTCCATCAACTAATAAACCTAATATCATACAATGCATAAGTTTTTTACCTATAACAAGTGTTGATCCACAGTTGTCATTAAACATATCTGTCAAACCTGAGTATGCATTTAATGCTAATGTGCCATAGCTTAAGTTTTCAGTAGGCACTCGTTCTAAAATATGGCCAGAATTACGTTCTAAATGGGTTACATCTATCATTATATCTACAATCATATCTAAGGAGCTAATTTCATCAAAGAATTGAAATCGTTTGACCATTATTCCTATAGATCTCACAATAGCCAATAAATCAGCCATTAAATCAATCTTTTCATCTTCTTCCAATTGTATATCATCGCCACTATTTATACCTCCGGTAAAATGTAACATGGCGATACATGACTTCACTATCTCTGTGCATTTTGTGAGTATGCTAATATGATAAAATCCAATATTCTTACTACCCATAAATGTAGATGCTAAAAGAAATAAACGTGTAGCAGACAATCCATTTTTCCTAGCACTAGGCTCATTCATACATTTTAGTCCATAATGAATGTAACAATTGAGCAAACAACTCAATGGTTTAGGATGTACTTAACAAGAATCATCACTAATAAACTGATCCCATAATATTTGAGCTGATGGTTGTTGTAAGTAAATGTTTAATAACTCACAAGAATCATTTATAATTGATGGAAAATCAATATCTGGCATAACAATTGATTCATATGATTCTGGAAATTTGTAATAACTGTAATGGCTACTCATAACTTGGTCTACATAATCTTGAGATATGACACCTAATTGAAGACGAGTCAATATGTCCACTACATCACTCACATCAATTGACACTCGAGCTTCTGAAATAAAAATTATAATTTTTAAGTAATCTATGAGTATTGTAAACTAAATATTATCTACCATAGTATTACATAAAGCAAAACAAAACTTTGTTTCAGTTTTAAAAATGAAAACAGTGACAATTTAGCCATTGTGTTTGTATTACAATTTATAATATAAATTTAAAAAAAAATAATAACAATCATTAGGTAAAGTAAATTAAAAGGTGGGACAAACAAACCCAGAAAAAAACCAAAAAAAAAACTTGGTATAACACCCTGGTAAATAAGCTTTGGAAATAAAAGCACAAAATAATGCCATAGAATTTTACTACAGCATACAATTTTATAAATCAAAGTATGAGAAAGTAAACTTTATCCAAAAATATTGCTTGTAAGTTAAAAAATAAGTGATATACAAAAAAAAATTGTTATTATTATTTTCTTAATTAAAGTAAATTATCAAGTAAAATTATATTTTTTTTCTAATAATTTATATTCATAACACAAACCAAGTGTGTTTGTATTAAAAAATATAAGCGGGATAAGACCAATAATGAATATATTTTAATTTTTTTGATATTAAAGTTAATAAGGATTTAATACATATTTAAAAAATATAAATTATACAAGGTTAAGGATCCTTATCTATTGAGTTTAATAATTATATATTATGTATTATTTTATTAGTTTATGTAATTTTTCAAATTATAATTAGGTAGAAAAAGAACCATTTACCAGTTTGTAATGAAGACATTTTTTTGGCGCGTATTATTTCAATTAACTGTTTACTAATGATCCATCGTCACCGGTATTCGTTAAATTATGTTTACAAAGGATAGTTAAAACACCGTCATGAACCATTAAATTGTCACTGATTTCGTCATTAATAAAACAAATTAACAGATAGAACTTAGGAGACAGCGGTTTATTATATACTAAAATAGTAAAAATACTAAAGATTATAATCCGATAGTTAATACTTGAAAATTGTGAAAATATTGGTCGGCAGTCGGCTATCACAGTATCACGATCGTCAAGCGGGAATTTTAAGCGTCACCAGCATAACACAAAAACGGTTATAATGATAATAACATATTATTTAAAAATATGCATCTATTATGAGATAATAATAATATGATAGTAACACAATATTTTGATTTTTGGAACAATTGGAACACCGGCGTAACCACGGACCAAGATATTAATATCATAAAATAAATAAATAAAAATCTCTCATATCGTAGTCCCGAGTCCGTATCCCAGGTAGATTTATAAATGTGTAGATCCGCCTTCGTTGGAACGTTTCGTTCCTTCATCTCATAAACATTATGAAGATTGACGGACTAACATAAGTTTTATTAATTATAATATATTATATAATTTGTGGTTATTTTGTCTATTTTTTGTTCACACGAATTTCCTCAAAGGTTCAAAATACCAATAACTCAGTACTGACGAAAAATCTACTCAAAGAAATCTCAATGCGCCCCACAATATAGTAATAAATAATAATTTATTACATTCGTTTAAATTTTAAAAGTACAAATTATGATGAGGGTTTGTACATTTTTCTGGGGTCCTAAAGCCATACTTCAATCATAATGTTATGGAATATATTATAATATAATATTTTACATTAATAAATACTTATAGTATATTTGTTAATACCAATGATCCATTGTATAAAATGTATTTGTGAAGACTTCAGCAAAATAATTTTATTTCTTAAACTTGTCGGTATGTATAATTCAATATAGGAAAACTGATGAACTTTCTTTTGATATGATGCATAATGTTAGATATTTTTATAAGCTAATAATATATACTAAGTACTTAAGTTATTAAAGTTAAACTGTACGCAGTATAAAAAAAATGTTTATATTATATTGGTGCAAATAATACATTTCAAATTACTATTTTATTTTTGACCAACGCCTTGCTAATATAAAAAAGACAATATTTACATACTTCTATAAACTTCTGTTGACAAAAATTCAGTTTTAATGGAAACACTGGAGGTGCAGAAGTATTTTTTTTTATAATTAGTCCTTCAATTTGCATTCAAGGATTAGACAATGAGCTAATTCCGTCCTTAATTTGCTATAATACTGTTTATATTAATGTATTATACAAAATAAAAAACTAATTAACCATAAATGGCATACATTTTGAGGGCGTTAAACACACCTAAATCCTTCCCCTTCTTCAACTCGTGTCAAAGCTAAGGGATATAAAATGTTATGTAAACATGTAATAATTTATTAATATTTAATAATTTACTTAAGCTTTTATTTTAGGACAAGAGTCAAGACATGTGAAACCTTTGTTCAAAACAAGTATTATCAGGAGAAAAAAGTATAAAATATTGATTTTATTTAAAATTAAAATAATTATACATTCACAATCACAAAGGGACTTACTGGTTATTATTCATATATCAATATAACAATACCGATCTAATATGCTTCAATAATCATAACCTCTTGAATACTTTAAATTCATATTTAATACCATTTTCTTCTTGAACTCCTTGAGGTACATTAGCTTCATTAGTTTCTTCAAATTCTTTCGGATCAAAATTAGGAAAGAAAGTATCACATATGTATTCTTGATCAATTTTTGTAATAAATAATTTTTTGCAATTTTTATCTTTTACAGCTTCATTGTATAAACCTGAACCACCAATTACCCAAAGCTTTTCTATATGATCATTGGAATTTAATGCTTTTAAGGCTTCTTCAAGTTTGGGATACAATAAAACACCTTCCGGTACACTGTTTAAAGTCTTAGAGATTACTACATTTATTCGTCCTTTAAGTGGCCTATATTTATCTGGAATCGATTGCCAAGTGCAGCGACCCATAATAACAGCATTTTGAGCACCTTCTAGATTGACAAGAGTAGTCATCCGATTGAAATATTCCATTTCCTTTTTAATTTTCCATGGTAGATCACCCTTGTAACCAATACCTCCATTCTTTGAAACTGCAGCTATAACACTGTAAGCCATATTATCAGTTGGATTAATATCAATAACAAAAAAAATGGTAACAAAATAAATTTTAAAAACAGTTGTTTTGATTATTGAGCAACAAATAACTATTAGATAATAGTATACGACATTTAAATTAAAATACGATCCAAGTTTAAGATTGTATATACTAAAATAAATCTATGAACACAGATAACTTTTTGAGCATCGTAGTTGACGAGATTAGTGCGTGCAGAACCACCTGATCGCGCCAACACCGGGAAGTTGGTGGGGGATGCGCACTACCACTGAACAATGGCACAAATGGCAGTACTAACTCTAACTGACGTCTCTTTTGAGACGGAAACGTCAGAAACACAAAAATCGGGATTACATATGTGTAGAAAAAACTGTGCTGTCTGTGCACATATTACAGGTATATCCGAGATATAAATCAACTAGAGTTGAATAAATAAATATAAAAGTTGGAAGGGGGACGAGGTTGCTCAGGTATTTACAATAATATGCATTTTGAGAAGCAGAAAAAAATGCATATAAAATGATGAAGGTAGAAAGTAGTAAAAGCTATATAGAGACTGCAGGGTATTCTGATTCTTAAACTTACACAATTATGCTCACAATAGTTAATTTTTTAACGAATGATAGTGGAGGTCCCCTTGAACTCTTCCTGCGATAACTAGTCAACATTTAATATTATTTCACGAGTTGCTTTCATGGACATAAATCTTAAGATCTAACCAAATTGCGCCTATGCCCGTATTAAAAACATACTACTAATGAAGAATAGTTTAAAAAAGAAAGAATATTTTCGATCCTAAGTCCTAACACTCAGCCACGAATTAAGATCTTATTCTAAATTCGTGCACACAGGACACAGCATTACAGCAGGACGTGTTCGGTGCTCGATCAGGGCAAGCAGCATCACAATTCATAACTATATGCATTATACATGTCTAGCAGAAGGAAAGAGCCAATAACCACCTTAACCCCCTGGCTACTCCCTAAACCAATATCATTGAATTCAAATTTAACACATGTATTAGGGTAATCTGAAAAAAAAAGACAAATTAAATGAATGAATGCGGGGGACACAAAAGGAACCAAAACACACTTATGTATAAGGTATGTACTGTAAACCTCTTTATAACGGACCCACATGGCCACATGAATACACGATACTACGATAGGTAGGTACCTACTATATAAAATAGCGCGGTACTCACTTCATAAATTTTTTTTTTAAATATTAAACATTGTCATAATTAATATCCACAGTGTACAATTACTTCAAGTTAAATCTTTGATTTGAAATTTCAATAACATACCTTAATAATAATTACCAGGGCTCATAACTTATAGCTCTAAAAAAGGTTGTTATAAGCGCAATAATATGCTCTGAAAAACATTCATATAAGCGCTTAAATATGCACTAAAAATACTAAAATATGCGAAAAAAAAATATTTGTATAAAAAAAATTATCAAGCTTTTATTATTAAAAAAAAAAATTGAATAATATTATATCGGAATTATTGTGGTAAACGACTTGTGGTACTCATTTATTCTGCGATTGTTCTGTTATAAAAATAATTATAAATTATAATTAATAATGACATATATTTTAAATATTTTTAAACATATTACATATAATATTACATATTAACATATTAACATTACATTGAATAATTAGATGTTTGTACAAGTTTTCAAAGTGAAATGATCTTCGATTGTTACTGAGTAGTCTTGTACATTGAAAACGATCGCTCAATGTCCACTGACGTAATTGGGGCAAACTTAAAGTACACGAGATCATCTGTTGAGAAGTCTTCAGGAAGTCCAGGTTCAAGTGCTGTGTTCATAGTTATACCAGATAATATATTTGAAATATTTTTTAAAATTTTAAGACCGACATTTTTGTGGGTGACGTTATTGAGTTTATTAAAAACAGCTTTTCCAATGGGTCCTTGAAGAGTTTCAAATACTTTTTCAACATTTTCAAATACATTTATAGCTTCAGCTAATGGTAGTCCTTGTTCTTGCAACTTGGTAATGGAAACTGTTAAAATTGTAAAATTGGATTTTATGTAGGCCAAATCTCTTTCAATACCAGCTTTGGAAATATATTTTTTGGCCTCTTTGATGCTAACAGCATCATCGGCGTCTAGTTTTTCGAGAATTGTACGTATGATTTCAATATTTTCACAATAGTAATTCGAGGCGATGATCCACGTACTCCAACGTGTTATAATAGGCTCCGGTGGCAAATTTAAATAAGGAGCTTCATCTTTGAACAGTTGAACACGGTTTGGTGCTTTTCGAAATATTTTTTTAACACTAGAAATAAGTTTGTCGACATTACTAAATTTTCCCCTTACTTCCTCTGCTACTCGGTGGAGTCCATGAGCTGTACACGTAATATGAATCATTTTGGAATAAAATGCTTTCAATGTATTACCAGCTTTTATCATATAGTGAGCGGCGTCGGATGTAAACAATAAAACATCCTCGTGTTGAATACCAATGATTCCAATAGATTTGTCAAATACTCTGCAAATAGTCGAATAATTTGTTTTGTCTAATTGTTCTGAATGAACTTAATATTGTTTACCCGGGTAATCTGCTTCAAGTATACCAACAATTACATTCGCAACAAACCTACCTTCAACGTCGGTAGTTTCGTCAATACTGATCCAAACTTTTTTACCAGACAGTTCAAGTTTAATTTTACTCATTGTTTCGTTAAAAATGTCATCTATGTATCCAAGTCTCAAGTTTGTTTCTGTAGGAACATTATTTCCGGTATAAATTTTCAAAAATGTACGAAAGCTTTGATTTGAAACTTTATTCAGTGGTATATTTGCTGATAACAACGCAAAACACAAGTCTTTACTGAATGAGGACTTTTTGGTAGAGTTGGTAACCAATTGTTGTTTTTTTTTTTCACCTTGATTTTCTGCACGTTTAACGGCCTTAATATGTTTTTCGGTTTTTAAATGTTGTGTGATATTAAATTTTTTTTCGTGGTTAATTTTAATATTACAAAACTTACATAGTAATACACTAGCGTCGGTTGCAAATGTATTTTCACCAAATTTGCGAACAATATTTTTAAGTCGACTAGAAACAGATTGTTTTTCTTTATGCATTTTAAATTAAATTATGTATGAACAAAACTACAGAATTTAGATTGTGAATTCACGAAATGAACTAGCATGCATACAATACGAACAATCGGAAATGACTGCATAATATTTTTGAGTATTGAGTAATAATCTGTAAATAATCTGAAAATAATGATATCGGAATACCTAGAAACTATAAAAATAAAATACTAGTGCATATTATGCTACAATTTATTTCTTTAACGATGGGATTACCAAGCGTCGGGCATACACTCTCTCTAGGTCGCACGTCATCTAAACTCGTATATATATAGTTTTTTTCTTATAATATTATAAGAACAATTAATTGACACGAATTAATTATTAATAAAAATAATTAATATGACTATAATTAATTTTTATTATTAAGAAAAAATGTTTTAAAAGCTACGGAACTGAAAAAAAAAAATATATTATGCAAAATAAATGTTGGAAAATATAAAAAAAGCAAAATAGCACTTATACTTCGAAATATGCAAAAATATGCAATATAAAATTTCGTATTTAGCTTCTTAGTTATCTGAAACCAATTTATAGCTCACTTTGGTATCTCTAGGACCTCTCAAAAAAAATATGCAAATGCTAGAAGTTATGAGCCCTGATAATCACATTTTTTTAAAATACAACATTCAACATAATATTAAATAAATTCTAATATCTACTAACAGTCTACATTATACACGTGTATTTTGTAGAAGTACCTACATAAAAGTGAAAAATATCTTTCAAAAATGTAGAATATAAGTAAACGAAACATGCCCCCTCCCCCTATACATATTCCTATCACAATAAATATTTTTAAATGTACTTATAAATCTAACAATCGAATAATTAAGATTTTTTGGACTATACTTAAGGAGTGTCCTGTGTCCCTGGTGAAGATATGTTTATCAATTATAACTTATATGTACTTTAGTTATAAATTATATATTGTTTAATTAATAAAATTACAACTTTGTCAAATATTATTTCTGTAATTATTTATTTACAAATAAATATAAATAAGTATAATTATCTACATAATTATTTTAATTTAAAAAAAGACCGAAACGATAAAGTATATACATAACGTAATAATTTATATAAAATCATCGAAGATTTTTCTTTTTATCAATAACTTAATTTTAAAATTAATATATACATAGGTTAGAGAAGAATATGTTTATATGTATATGATTATTATGGAATAAAGTTTATACAAAATCGATAACAAAAAAATAAATTATGTTCTAAAAAACTTGTTACATAAATTTATCATTAATACACAAGTTTTCACACGATAGTATATTTAATTTGTTAAATGAAAAATCTGCCAGTTGAGCTATCTTAAAATTATGGAAATATTCATTTTTAAACACTGTAAAATTAAATAATATTGTTTTGAACACTTACAAAGTACAATTACATCAAATTGTATTAATAAAACTACCAACAATGTATGATCACCTTAAAATTTTACGATTGTCTATTATTTTTAAACAAAAAAAACAGACGTCCATTAATTATTTAGAATTAAAACGCTTCAAATAAAATATATTCAAAAAATATATGTATAAATAAAAGAAAAGAATCCTACAAATTAAAACCTCATTTCTTTCTCCCAAGTTTAAAACCTTTGTTTTAGCTAATAAAATAGTCCTAAATTTTCGTTTATTTCATTTAGATTCTATATAAAATCTTAAAATCTAACAAAGTGAAAATTGAGATCTTTTTTTGACTAATTGTCAAATGTATTAAATGTACTTAAAGCTAAAAAAATTGTATATTGACTAAAAATTTAAGTAAAAAAAAAATTAAAATTTGAAAAAAATAGAAGAATAATTCTTATTCATTACAAGCTTTTCTTATGGTACCTTTTTGTCATGTTGTCAAAAAAATAAAACAATCACAGTTAAAAAAAACAACCCAAGGCTTAGAACAACGTAAACTTTAAAAAAAATTGGTAATATAACAAGTACAAAAAAAGAAAAAATTGTTCGATTTTAATGTAAAAGGTTAACAAATAGTTTAAAAAAAAAAAATACTTTACATAATATTTTGCATATTGCACATTAACATGAAAATTTCTTATCTTAAACTAGATAACAAAATTA